GCCCGGGGCTGCGGAAAATCCGCGCTAGGCCTGGGCCCGGCGCACGGCCTGCGCGGAGGGTAAGGTGCCCTCTGCGCAGAGACAGGTCCAGCGTCAGTAGCGGATTCCTGGTGTCGGATGGCGCCCCGCGTGCGGGTGTCTATATATGGAAACCCACTCCTAGTAGGTTGCGGCCAGCCAGATCCTGCTCCCGGGACAGCGCGGGCACGCCACTCAGGCCTCTTGGGTCGGCCTCACCTCTTAATTTTAAATGTCCCTTGCACCCTCTTACCTGCATCCACCTTTTACAATAAAGACATCTAAATAATTGGTACTCAAGATTATTATTACGGTGTCGCATCAGCTGTGCTGTATGCTGACATGCCTGTTCATCTTTGTATGCCCTCTGTAACATAGGTATTGTTTCCGTTTTACATACGAAGAAACAAGTTTTGAGAGACTAAGAAACAATTTTCAGAATGCACTCAGATCGCCTTCCTCATCCTTTCCCAAAATCTTTTTCTTCCCAGCCTGGTCTCTGAATGGCTTGTCCTCTTCATCCCATCTATCTTTTTTTCCTCCACTTGCCTTAAAGGCAAAGGCAGCTCAATGAGGAATTGGGTCTCCTCAATTTGGGAGTCAAAATGATCAGCAACAAGAAAAACCCCAACAAACTGCTCACAGCAACAAACCCTTCAATATTTGATTACTTGGATAATCTGTTTTAAAAATTTCAGGCTTAAATGCCTAGTGGATTCGTTCTCCTTCTGTTAGAACATCTACTAAGAGATCCTGGTCTCGGGGAGACTAGAGACAGACAGAGGAATCGTCATCGGCTGCCCATCATCTTTATTAAATCAAAGCAGGTGCCCTTTGGAGCAGGGACTTGTAATCATTTCTATCTCCCGTAAGCCCCTAGTATAGTTCTGGCATCTAGGGAAACTGCAACAAATAAACGACTCCCTTTTCACAGTTAAATCATCTTTTCTGTTTGGAGCAGAACCTTTTCTCTTAAATGCCCTGATAATTGAGGCAAAATTGGATTTGGGGGGCTCATTATCCAAGTAGCTTAACATTTACATTTACTCTATATTCATTTGATTTCCCTGTACTTTAAAAAAAAAGAAATCAAAGTTTAAGTGCAAACCTTCTTGTTCTCTTTCCTTCTCTCTCCTGCCTGTCCTCTCCCGCCCCACTCCTCCCCCTCCCCCGCCCACAGGTCCAGCATGCCAGCAAACAGATCAGTGCTGAGAAGCAGTACAAAGGGATCATTGATTGTGTGGTGAGAATCCCCAGGGAGCAGGGCTTTCTCTCCTTCTGGAGGGGTAACCTGGCCAACGTGATCCGTTACTTCCCCACCCAAGCTCTCAACTTCGCCTTCAAGGACAAGTACAAGCAGATCTTCCTGGGGGGCGTGGACCGGCATAAGCAGTTCTGGCGCTACTTTGCTGGTAACCTGGCTTCTGGCGGGGCAGCTGGGGCCACCTCCCTCTGCTTTGTCTACCCGCTGGACTTTGCTAGGACCAGGTTGGCTGCCGACGTGGGCAAGGGTGCCGCCCAGCGTGAGTTCACTGGTCTGGGCAACTGTCTCGCCAAGATCTTCAAGTCTGATGGCCTTAGGGGTCTCTACCAGGGTTTCAACGTCTCTGTCCAGGGCATCATTATCTACAGAGCTGCCTACTTTGGAGTCTATGATACTGCCAAGGGTGAGAGAAGGGTGTCAGGGTGGGGGGCAGGAGGAGGGTGTGTGCAGAGAAGATCCTGAGGGATCTCTAACTCATAAAGAACTTTACATTTGTTAATCTCAATTTTCCCTTGTCCTTGGGCTTTAACTGAGGCCTGTTGGTGAGGAGGTTGTGAGTTGTGGATCGACAGCCAGGGGGTTCTCCTTGTCCTCTAGTGAAATAAGCCCTGGCCTTGAGTTATTCAGAGAGGACAGAGGGAGCCCGGCTCCCTCTATCAGTTACCAAGTTTAACTTGGAGCTGCTTCAACCTGCCCCGTACACTGGGCACAGCTCTGATGTTGCCAGTCCAGGGAGGGCGCCACCAACTTTTGTTGGCTGCCTGGCTACTTGTGAGACACCCAATGAGGGACAGGTACTTCAGGGAGGGTGGGGCAGGGAGTTGGAAGTTTAGGGGCCACTTCTCCATCCTCACCTGCTTTCTGCTCAGTGGCTCAGAGGAATGATATCATGGCCATTTGGCTTTTTGGCTTTGCCCTCAGGGATGTTGCCTGATCCCAAGAATGTGCACATTATCGTGAGCTGGATGATTGCCCAGACTGTGACGGCGGTGGCAGGGCTGGTGTCCTACCCCTTTGACACTGTTCGCCGTAGGATGATGATGCAGTCTGGCCGGAAAGGGGGTAAGCCTGAGACCGATCTAAATCTTATTTTCAGCCCAAGGAGAATACTAGTCAGTGCTCTTTTCAGCCTTTGTTATTCTAAGTTGTTAAAATTATGTGATAAGAATTTAGAAAGGAAAGATTATGATGACTCCTCCCTAACATTCTCAACTGTTCCTCTGGAGAAAAGGTTTTTTTTTTTTTTAAGTCAAAGAAATGATAAGAACATCAAAAGGGGGATACTCAGAAGTGAAGTTAACTGGGTATCTAGCATCATAGAGGCCATAGGCCTTTCTCCCTTAGAGCCTGGGTACAGAAACAAGGGGAAAGAATTGAAGTAATTAGCTAATTTGTTTACTTCTCTTATCTAGTTATCACCAGTATTACTGGGGAGGGTGATTTAGCTGGGGAAGAGATGGTCTGAAGCAGTCTGTTGTGATAGAAAAAGTTTTGGCTTCCACATCAGACATACGGAATTACCATTTTTAAAATCAAAAAATAATGAAATGTTAGCAGTTTCATATTGTTCAACCTAATAATTGCGTCTTTTTAAGTCTATAAACTTGGGCATAATCTGAGTATCAGGCCTCACTTTTCTTCTCCATAAGAAAGGGCACCACCCAGCTTAATATTTCTTCCCCACCCCATTCCCTTCCTATTTCACATTTTGACATCTGTGAATTAGCTGGTTAATCGCCCAGTTCTTCACTTGATCTTTAGTTGAAGTAGGAAAGACAAGAGACCCTGCCCAACAGTTACGCAAGGGGAGAGGATGTCCAGAGCTGGGTGTAAGGCTAAAGGGACCTTCCTTTTGTAAAACTGGTAACACCACGTGCAGGTGTCTTCCAGAGGAAAAGTCTCTTTCCTCCAGAATTATGGAGCCCTTACCAACATTTGTTTCCACAGCGGACATTATGTACACCGGGACAGTGGACTGCTGGAGGAAGATTGCAAAAGATGAAGGACCCAAGGCTTTCTTCAAAGGTGCCTGGTCCAACGTACTGAGAGGCATGGGCGGTGCTTTTGTATTGGTATTGTATGACGAGATCAAAAAATTTGTCTAATGTAATTAAAACTCGAGTTCATTGGTTCCAGATTCATTGTGTGGTTTAAGAGACTCTTCCTAGGGGAAGTAAAAAGCAGGATCTGGCATAAAACCAGATTGGAAGGAATACCTCAGAAAAAGCTTCACTGAGTGTTCATGAAACCACAGATGTATTTTGTATTTATTTTACATTTAAATTCCCATAGCAAATATAAAAGAACTTATCGTACTGACACAATTAACTGAAGAACTGATGATAAAATAACTGAATGCTAAATGTCAATAAAGACCACTTAATGCACGTTCTCTATTTTACTGAATTCTTATTAACTGACAAATGGATTAAAAAAATAAGACCATAAATCTTATTTTCTAGCATGACTCATTTGTAACTCAGTGGCCAAGCTTCTAAATGTCAGCTATTATCCTGTGTATTGTGTGAGTACCTACAGTACTTAAAGTTTCGGTTTTCAAACTGAAATGCTCTCTTCACCTTCCCTCATACTGTCTCCTATAGGCTCCGGGTGGTAACTCGGGTTGTGGCTTCCATAATCTCAGCATATTGTATGTATTTTCATAGTCCTCAGGAATTCTGAGGTTGCGCTAAAAGCTTTAAATCGCAATTTGAAGAGCTTTGCATGGTTGGGAAGTGCTCTGTATTATTAGTGCCTTTAGAGAACTGTGATACTTAGAACTTTGTGACCGAGGGACAGTATTCATTGAAAATCAGTCAGAAAGCTAGTACTTAATGCCTGTTCCATCCTGTGGAAGATACAGAAAGGCACGAGCCATTCTGAAAAAAGCTTAAATGAGATTAGGAGAGAGGAGCGAAATGGCGTTGTTAAATAATGTAATGTTTTAATATAGTGGATCTTGGTTGAGTAGGAGTAGAAGGCAGGAGATGAACTGGGGGGGGGGTGTTGGTAGAAGATGGGCATTGAAAGAAGGTAACTAGATTTAGATACGTGGGTATAGAAAGTAGTATTTTCTCATATTAGACACCCGCTAGAGGAAAGTATCTGCCAGCACTTCTTTTTGTAACAATTTATCAAGACCTGGAGGAAGAATCAGTGTTGGATTTGACTCTCATAAATTTGTGAGCAAGAGGAAAGTAATTACGGTCTCAAGTTGGGAATTAAGCATTTTTGGTCCAGAGGACCACACAGTTCCTATAGTCCTCGACTGTTGGGAGTGA